CGGAAGGCACGGTCGGAGCATGGCCCAGTGAAGGGCCCGGCCCTGCGCGGCTGCGCGCCAGGCAAGGCGCGGCTTCCTGCCCACGCCCAAGCGGGGATCGACCGACCCAGGTCGATCCAGACCTGGCTCCGTCGGGCCTGGCAAGATCCTGGAGGATCCTGCACCCGAGCCCGGGTCCATGCACCCCTGGCTCTGCAGGATCCTGCCAGCCCTGGCGCTCTCACTGGCCCCCGCTTGCATCGACCCCCGCCTGTTGAGCCCCGAGGCCAGCTCGCGCTCGATTGTCGGGACCTCTCGGCAGGATTGCCACTTTGGCGGGGTAGACGCGTCCCCTTTCAGAGTTCTATGCTCGTCGCGATGTAGCAAGCATGGCAGTTGCACATTACGGGGCACATCAGGGGACCGTTCACGCCCAGATTGGACCCCACCGGCAGACGCTCAGATGTGGATACGCTTGAAAGAATTGCACACGTGAGCCCCCCCCGCCTGCAATTGATTAAATCCCTCCCTTGTATCCTCAGCTGGCTCCACGCGGCATCCGCCTACATCAGAAGTGCGGCACCTTCTGGGACACAACGTCGGGAGAGAATCATGAATTATCCTTATCGGTGCTTTTGGCACTGCTTTTGTCCAAGAGAACTCCGAGACGGCCCAATGCGGCCGAATATGGCATCAGGATAAACAAATTTACCCCCCCCGACGCCCGAAAAAGGCTATAACAGCACCCCCAAGAGACCCTCTAGAGGCAACCAACGCTAACTTATTCTGCACAATTCTATGACCGGCCTTCGCGTCTTCACCTGGGCCCTTTGACTGGCCAAATACGGGGCAGGGGGTCCCCAAGGCTGCCCAAGAAGCCCCCAAGATGGCTCGAGACCCCGGCGAGAGGGCACCAGGATGGGCACCTTATTGGGAGGACGAAAGACCCCACACCTCCAACAGGCTGACCCGCTGCCCCAAAAGTCGCAAATTGAACTTTGTTCTGTGATCTTTACCATTCTGATCACAGCAGTTTCGCCCTACCGACTCCCTGAACACCAGAAACTGTCCACGGGGTCGCTTGACGAGCCAAGACGAGGCACGAGAGCCCCACAAGGGTCCCAAGAGACATCGAGCACGTCCAAAAATACTCCCAGAAAAAAACCAAAGCGGGGCCGAAGATAGGGAAGTTGAAGGGGCCCTGGACCCCCCCCCCCCGCAAAAGAACAACCAAACAAACAAAACAAGACCCCCAAGACGCCCGCAAATGTCCCCGCAAGCCCCGAAGATGCCCTCAGAAACATCCGGAACAGAAAAACTCACCGTAAGTCCCACGAGGCTTCCAGAAGCCTCCAATCAAACTTCGCCGCAGATCCAGACAGGAGACCTCGACACGGACTCCTCCTCGGTGGCCTGGAGCGCGCCTGGTCACTCCATGTGCACACAACGCACCACGACAGAAAGAGGGTGGATCCCAAGCAAGGCCCAGTCGGGATGGGAGTCAGCGGCGGGGGGGACAGGGCAAGGGAAGGAAAGAGGAGAGGAAAGGGACCAAAAGACTGGCAACGCTTGCGGTCCGACCCTGGAACCAGCCCTCTGAGGAGCTCCGAGCGTTCCGAGCTCCTCCTGGGCCTGAGGCAAGGCAGCAGCAGCTCCCCTCCTGATGTGGAGGAAGCAAAAACCCCTGCACAGGATACGGAAAAGGAGAGGCAGAGCCGAGCCAACGCCCCACGCCCAGTGGAGCTCATGATGAGTCCCAGCCCCACCCGAGAGAAGGTGGGAGAAGGCGGGGTTGAGCTCCTGACATGGGGAAACCGGCTCGGGCCCAACTGCCCGCAGACATCCCGTGCATCTATAAGCGCTCCCACAAGGAACTACTCCGAGCACAGTATAGGACTACCACCACCAAGATGGAGAATCACCTACGATGCGATGTGGTGCAGTTTTGCTCGGGTGAAAAGCCCGCGGACCCCCTCCCGCCGCCAGCGGCAAGCGCTGCCCCCTCTCTCTTAAGGACCGAAACGGAATTCATCGAAGAACGCGCGGTGGTGGTGTACATAATTGAGGTTATCAAGGGGGGCGGTTGTTTATACGCCGCCACAAAGACGTGCTGTTCCTGCTTCAGGAGCTCCCCATGCCACGGCGCCTGCGAGCTGCGCCGCGCTCCTTTTCGCCCGTGGCGTCGCAGCGTCGTCTGGCGTGACCCTGCCCCTAACCCTTTTTGCGGAAAATGACTGTTGCGGGCGGTGGTGGTGTATACAAATTGGCCTCGCAAATACGACATGGAGGCTTCGCGGCCTGCGACCAGGGGCCCTGGCAGGTCGACGAGTCTTGCCGACAGGATCCGGCAACAGGGAAACTGGCGAGAACAGGTTACCACCACACCACGCTGGATAATTCGTTCGCACAATCAGATAGCTCGGTGGGCGCCAGACCATGCCTCCTCGCACTCTGCTTGGCCCACCAGTCGGCAGCCAGCAGCAGTGGGCCCAGCAATGAGGTCCCAAAATGCCTGATCCGAGACCTGCTCGACGGATTGGTGAGCCCTGGCTTCGGCGATCGAAATCCATCCATAATGACCAATCCTCCTCCACCCGTCCTAGCCGTCCTGGCGCGCGATCTGACTCCAGCGAACCACGACTGGCAACCGACGGCGGAGTTGGGGAAACCCTCAGGACTGCAAGCCCCCCCCCCCTGAGAACTGTGACGCTCACGCGACAGGGACTGCAGATGCCTCGAGTGCTTCAGTCGACCTGCATGCGCACACCAGCTGCCCCTGTTCTGGAGATGGCTTCTCGGCCACCACGATAACCGGAGCCAGCAGGAACAACAATCACTGTCGAGGGAAAGACCGAACGGGTCCGCCCCTCCCCTTCGCAAAACCTGAACTCCCAGTCGGAAAGGGGGAGGCGGTGCGTCCGGAATGTCTACCCGTATAGCCTGAACCCAGGCGGGGGAGAACGTCCGGCGGCAATCCATCGCTGAGATGCCCCCGCCTTTTGGACAGAGGCTTCCCGTGCTGACGAAGCCAGGCGAAGTGGTAAGCAGTATCCACAGAGTCATGGCACGAGGCCATCCTCAGTCCTGTCGCCCCCTCTGGAGAGGGCAGAACCAGTGGGGATGGGTGGGCACAAGACCTGGCGACAATGTGCTCGTGTTGGCAGACCACGCTGCTCCCACCCTGGCCATCGCAGGGTGCTACATGTCGCCCGCCGAGAACTGGGACCGCAGGAGCAGCGACAACTTTAAAGCAAGACCTGGGACAATTCGCGAATGAAAACATCAACAATTCACGTGGGAGGGGGCTCTGTGAGAATCCACCTTCTCCCCTTCGGGTCCTGAAAATGGCTGGTCCCATCCAGAACCAACCAGCGTGTTGAGGGAACAAACGCATGGCAGAGATAGGTCCCCTGGACTTATATAACACCACGGCCGTTCCTTGGCCTGCACAACAACAAAAACAGGCAGCCGCCCACCTCGAGGACTTGCGTCACGATGGTGGGGCCCTCCATAAAGCCAAGTCGGAGAAACAAAAAGATCAGGCCACCATTCCAAAGCATATCTCTGAAGGAGGCCTGCTGCGCGGTGGATGGGGTCATTTTCCCTTGAGAGAGAGCGCACACGAGATCCAGATTACAGCCCCTTTCTGCTGATCCCTGGACTTCTGGCGGCGGCCCTCCTGATCCAAATCAGTTCATTCGGAGTAGTTCCCTGCACCCCAATGTCATACGATACGATGAGCAGGCTCCCTGAGCTTTGACGGTGTTTTCAGCCCCGACAGCTCAGTACGGCGACGACGACATGTTTTCATCCTCCTCCTTCGTACAGCTCGAGCGAAGGTGTGTTAGTGGTGGCGACCAGTCGATAAGGACACCCACCGAATGGCGCGGACCCCACCAACAAGGAAACTCCCAAATGACGCGGACCCCACCATGGTCGCCTGGCAAGCTCCTGGAGATCACTCTACGCACTGACCAAGAGTTGTGAATAGACCGACGAGAAGAGCGCAGTCTTTAACCCGCCATAGTGGGAGTGGCCTAGGGGGGCTTACACGATGCAGGAGCAGAACAACTTCACATGTGTTGGACCGCTCTGATGGAGCAGGCGGGTGGTTGCTGGATGCGTCGTGGTCGCCGAAGTCGTTGATGTTTTCGCTGCTGGAATCGCAGCCGCTGCGGCTGTTGGCCGCTGGGGGGGGGGGTGCGGTGACAGATTTGTTGTTTGTTTTGTTTCTTGGGCGTGGGCGCGTGAATAGGTTAGCTTCCCAGATACACGCACAGAAAAGTTACTTAAGACCGGCTTTTCGCCAGTGCTTAGGAGACGCGGCTGATACGAATTGCCCTCAAAGGGGGGTGCGGTGACAGATCGGTCGTTGCCCTGGCTGTGTCCAAGCGACTGCGCTGGCGTCGCTGTGCGCGGCCCGACGGCCGTCTCGGAAGGCATATCCACCCTTCTGCGCCGTGTATCATAATTATGAAGGGGCCCTGGGACACACAAATAAATATACACAAATAAAAAGATCCCCCACATTTCCCCATGTTTTCAGGGTTTCTGCCTTCCCCCCCCCACTTCCCATATTTTCAAATATTTTCTGAAGAATCGAGGATTCATTGTGTCTGTGTGTTTCTATTCCTCCTGAGCTGTGTCCAGACGACTGCGCTGGCGTCGCTGTGCGCGGCCCGACGGTCGTCTCGAAGGGCATGTCCACCCTTCTGCGCCGTGTATCATAATCAGTGGGTGCGACGGGCGGCGGCGCCACGGCAAATGGGACGATCGAACAGGGCAGGACACATAGGAAGTTCAAGACGATTTCAGAGGAGAGGGGGGTGGTGGGCAAATATTTCCCCACCACTATCACGTGTAAGACACGGGGTAAGGGAGGACGAGGAGGTTCTGCTCCTCCTCCTCCCTCTCCTACCCATGGTAGTGGTGATGACACGGGCCATCAGGGGGAGCGCAGATAAAGGAAGCCGAGGAGGAGGCGCGCACTGAGCGCTGCCAGGGCGTGCGCCACGCGAAGCGAGGGGGATCTCCTGCTGCAGCTGCCGTGCCTCCGTGGCCGCGGCGGCGCTGGCCAGCTCACGCTGCCCCGCCTCGTGCAGCTCGGCGTGCAGCTGCGAGACCTGCCGCCTCAGCTGCTCTGCCTCCTCTGGAAGAAGGCAAAACGCCTTCACAACAGAAACTCTGGGCGCTCCGCGCGGACTTCTTGGATCCGCGCTGGACCCCCCGCCCTGGCGCGCGGAGCGCGCCAGGGGCGGCGCCAGAGGCGCCGCCAGGGAGGCCCAGCGCGGATCCAAGACATCCGCGCAGAGCGCAACAATGTTTATGCTAGTGGCGGTTCTTCTGCTTCGGTCCTCGGCCGCCGTGGAACGGGCCATCTCTTTCTGCTGCTGCTGGTTGGTCAGCTGGCTCTGCAACTCCGAGACCTGCTGCCTCAACTGTTGCGACTCCGTGGCCGCGGCAGATCTGGCGGACTCGTGATGTCGGTCCTGCTCGGACACCTTCGCCTCCAAATCCGAGACCTGCTGCCGGAGGCGTTCCGTCTCCGCCCCCGAAGCGGAGACGACCGACTGACGCTGCCGCACCGCCTGCGACAGCTCGTCCTGCGCCTCCGCAACCTGCTGCCTCAACTGCTCCACCTCCGAGGCTGCGGCAGATCTGGCAGACTCGCGAAGCCGATCCTGCTCGGACAACTTCGCCTCCAGGTCCGAGACCTGCTGCCTGAGGCGCTCCGCCTCCGCCGCCGACACGGAGACGACCGACTGGCGCTGCCGCACCGCCTGGGACAGCTCGTCCTGCAGCTCCGAGACCTGCTGCCTCAACTGCTCCGCCTCCTCGGAGACGGCGGCGGGGCTGGCCGGCCTGCGGTGCCCTCCTTGCTCGGACAGCTTGGCCTGCAGCTCCGAGACCTGCTGCCTCAGATGCTCAATCTCCTGCGCGGCGACGGGACAGGCGGACTCTGGAGGAACCAGAAGGTACGGACACCGCGGAATCCTGGACCTCTCCCGAAGTGCGATCTGACAAAGATTGAAAAGCGAATCCACCAATGGCGACGACGGCCTCCCAGGAGGCCCGAAAATGCGAAAATTACCTTTGGAAGGGTAGTGATATCGGTACCTTTTCCTCCTTTGATCCTCCTCCTTCTTCTCCAACTCCTCCTCCCCCTCCTCCCTTACCCCCCTGATATCCTCCTCCTTCCTTCCCCTCCCCTCCTCACCAGTCATCCTTCTGCATGCCTTGCCTCATGATTAACTCCTTCCTGTCGCACCCCGAGGCCAGTTATGCGCCCCAAGCTTAAGAACTGGTAACGTTTTCGCATCTGCACGGCGGGCCGCTTCCAATATGTGGTTATCGCCATCGCCCAGCGCACATTTGTTTCAAAGATTTCCCAAGAGCTTCACGGATTGAGAGCGGTTCGTTTTCTACAAGGGGCTCTCGCAATAGCACTGCGCGTGTTGTGTTGAAGAACTGAACGGGCATCACAACTTGAGACTGGCTCGTTGTCATAGTTCGGTTCTCGCCTTAACGCCTCGCGCATTGTTTCTAAAATGATGCAAGACGTTCACGGACTGAGGACGGCTCCTTTTGAAAAAGTGGTTCTCGCCTTCGCGCCGCACGCACTCGTCCTAAACGAATGCCTGCTTTTCAAAGATTGCGGACGGATCGTTGTCAAAAGCTAGCTCTCGCCGTCGCGCCGCGCACATTCGTTGTAGGAATAACTGCAAGGGTTTCACTGTTTCTCATGATTCACGTACCAGAAATGGTGTTTTGGAGCGGTTCGGGACTGTCAGAACGCAACAGTTATGCTGGTTCGCGGTGTTGAAGTCCCAGGAATGGTGCCCTGGCACGATTCAGCATCGTTAAGACGCAACAGCCAGGTTCTCGTAGCGTTGAAGTCCTGAGAATGGTGTTTCGGAGCGCTGCGAAATTTTCACACGGTGGTCCCCCAACGTGGCACTTCCCTCGGTGGAAACGAATCCTTTGTGGGCGTCTATGAAAAGGGAGCGTGGAGGGAGGGTGTATTCCAACATCGTTGACGAGTCTTGTGTTGACACTGGTCCTCCTCCTCCTGCTCCAACTTCCTCCTCCTCCTCCTCCTCCTCCTCCTCCGCCTCCGCCTTCCTTTCCGCCTCCCCCTCCCCCTTCCCCTCCCCCTTTTTCCTCCTCCTCCTCCTTTTCCTCCTCCTTTTCCCCCTCCTTTTCCCCCTCCTCTTCTCCTCTTCCTCCTCTTTCTTCTCTTCCTCCTCTTCCTCCTCCTCTTCCAGCTCCTCCTCTGATACTCGGGCGGCCGATCCTCCGCCGCCTTCGCGCTGCTCTCCAGCGCTTGTTGCCTGCGCCCCTCCGCCTCTTCGCCCTCGGCGCCGCCGCCGTGCTCGGGCCGCCGCTCTTCCTCGGAAGGCCCGGCCTCGGGGCGCCGCGGGGAGGAGGCTGCAAGAGACGGCGCGGGGGGCGCGCGAGGAGAAGGAGGAGGAGGAGGAGGAGGAGGAGGAGGAGGAGGAAGATGAGGAGGAGGAGAAGGAGGAGGATGAGGAGGAGGAGAAAGAGCACAAGGAGGAGAAAGAGGAGAAGGAGGGGGAGGATGAGGAAGAGGAGGAGCAGGAGGAGAACGAGGAGGAGGAGGAGGAGGAGGAGGAGAAATCGCACCGAGGGGAAGAGGGGAAGAGGTTCGACGGTCCAAAAAAACCCAGGGGGAGCCCATCGGACCGGACCTTTTTGTCACCCTGGCAGGAAGGCCAATGACCTGCCAAGGGCCAACGACAGGGCCCCCCTGGGCACCAACAGACCGCCTCCGCGTCCCCCAGGCCGCGTTGGTCCCAACTCGGCTGCTTCGGACTCATTCAGCCCAAAGGCCTGGAAGACATCAGCCAGGCACAAAAATGCATCTCGGTCCGCTTCGGGCCTTACCAAACTATTTCCTCTCTGCTAGGCCTGCTTGGGCTCCTCCTTTTCCCCAGCCAGCTCCCGCGCATAGGCCCCAGGAGTTCTCCAAGGGCCTACCCAGCTTGAGAAGCCTGTTGGGCTGCTTCCCTCTGAAGACCGCCCTCGGGTTCTTCCTGGCAGGGTCTACAAGGGCATGCTGGGAGCCTTCGCATCCCCTTCTGAGACCCCGAGATCCCACAGACATCGTGGCGCATGCCCCACAGGTCGAGCAAAACAGGATCGGTGCCTGCCGTTCAGTCGCGATCGAGAACTCAAGCAGGTCATGCCCTCCTATGAAGGCTGGAGACTGCTGGGCATCGAATGCTTGCGCCACTAACTCTGGCATCAGGGGCTCTTGGGGATGGCGCGAGGGCAGAGCGGGGTCCTGGGGGGGGGGGCAGGCAGGTGCAACGGCAGACCGAGCCCCCCCCCTCATCATACCTCCTCCTGGCCTCAGCAAGCGCCTCCTCCATGTCCGATCCCCCTTCCAGGGAGATCATCGTGAGCCCCTGCATTGCCCCACTGGCCCTCGTCGGAATAATGGATCTCTGCCCCGCTAATTAACTGGAGTAGCAGACTCAAAACATGAAGCATACCTGTGGCCATCATGACCACATTGTTCGGGCATCTGCACAGCTCAGCTCCCGCTTTCGCGAGCCTACCGGCCTGGTCGTTGCCCTCCCCCTCAAACAGGCTGATCCGCCCATCTCGAACGTCAGCCATGGAGGTGTGGGCCGCCACCTTGCAGAAATCCACCAGCTCAGGCCTTCCTTCTCGAAGACCCTCCTTCCGCAGGTGGGCTCTGGTGTTGCCGGGCCGCTGCGCATATCTCGCACCCCAACAGCACTGAACCGCCCCTTTGCAATCGGAATATAACGTATATCTGCCTGCCAAGTGCTTCGGGGCCATGGGCGCAGCATAATCCCCCCCGCCCCGGGCTACTTGGTCGGGGCCCATGCGCGGGGGGGCCGCTCCATGCAACCCCTCTAAGGGTCGGCACTCGCGATCACAGACCGCCACTCCCCAACCAACAACCCAGAAGCACGGAAACAGCCCGTCGACACCTGGGCCATCGCGAGAGCCAAGGCCAAGGGCGGAGCAAGCCTTTCGACCTTGAACGCCCACCGTGGGCCCCATCTCGGGCGGGGGAAGTCTCCGCACGGGCCAGGCAGGATCCCTCTAGAAAAAAACGCCCTTGCAAATGCTTGGGCCAAGCTTGCAAGCGTCTAACAGAGGCTACCAGGTCCCGTGGGAGGAAGTCCCTCCTCCGTGCTTGGCGGGCTGGGCGCTCGAAGTGGCGATGGAACAGGCTGCCTCTAACGTCCCCGCAAATGGGGCACTGCGCTGGCAACTGTGCGTCATGTCTGTTCAGCCTCGCTTGGCACCGGTGCGAGCCAATGACGAGGCCACGGAGGACTCTTTGCTCCCGATATCCCCCACCACCCGTCCGACACCACAATTTCCTCCTCTAGCGGAGCCTTCCACCTGCGGTGACACGTTCATTGAGGGGTCGTCAAGAAATGTCGCCGGTCCATCCTTTTGCGCGGGTCAATCTTGGCCAAGCCTTCGCGGTCAGAGAGACGCCTGGCTGCGAGCTTCGCTCTCCAAGCCACCATCGCTGGGGGCACCTGGCGAAGGCCCCAGACCTCACCCGCGGCCTCGCGCAAGGTCCAAGGGTCGTCAAAAACGAACCCACACAAGCGAGGAGGAGGGCTGCAACTGGGTCTCGCACGCGCGCCAAAGACCGAGGCAGCAGGAGTGCCTCCTTGCCGCGGTCGAGAAGCGACTGCAGCACCGCAGGCGCCAGGCGCTGATCCTTCAGAGTCTCGCTGTGCGCGCGGAGGGCGTCAGCCGTAACGATGACCAACGGATCTCTGACCCAGCCTCCTCGAGCACGCATCGAGGCCAGTTCTAGGGCGCATCCTTTCGGGCCCCCCCCCTCCGCCCTGCCTGAGCGCAGCCAGGCGGAGCCGCTTCAGCTTGCCATTGGCTCCCCCGAGGGCCTTCGAAGTGATGCCAGCCCTGAAGATCAACCCGCGCGGGGCCCCTGCGTTACGCGGCGAGAGGCCCTTGGGAACTTCTTGCTGGGCCTCGCAAAAACGCCCGTGCTGGGTGCTGACCCCCCGTCTGGCGCCGTCCGTGGCGTCGCCTCCTAGATACTTGTGGGCCTGGGCTCTCACCGACGGAGGCAAGCTGCGCAGCCTGGCAACCTCGTCCGCCGAGGCTGTCGAGGATGCCAGTCGGCCTGGCTCGTTCTCGGCAGTGGGAAGCCCCATTCGCTGCAGGTCGGCGGTCAGCGAAATGAACGACGCGACCGGCTCTCGAGTGATGACCTGCTCTCCTCCAACTGCATAAAGCGATACGTCATCAATGACACTATTGATGCACAGCGCGGGGTTCCCAACCGCTGCCCTGCGGAGGACGCCGAGCAGAAGTAAGCGTGCAAAGGTGGTGGCCCCAGAGCAGCCAGCAATGACTGTGCCATTCGGATGGATCTCTCGACTGATGGTCGCTTGCCAGGTCACTCGCCGAGGCCCCTGACACAGGCAACAGTAAGCCCGCAGCAAAGCCAGCGGAAAAGAACTGGCACGGGCAGCTGCCAGCAACTCTTCGTGCGAAACATGCTCGTGAAACTTACGGAGGCCTACGAAAAGGGTCGCCGATTCCAGCCCTGGGACCGACCTAGCGTAGGCGTCCAGGGCGTTGTGGACCCAGGCGCTCTTGTCGCAAGTTGTGCTCAAGCTGAGCCCCAGCAAAAACTGTTCGTCGACCGTCTGGTCCCATGCCGCGCACAGGCCCTGCCGCATGCGGCTCCATGCTCTGGCCCAGAAGGGGACGAGCCCTACTGCCGGCTTGTCTAAAGACACAACCAAAACCATCCACATCGGTCCCATACCAGATCTTTCCCAAGCCGTTAGAATTCCCGCAAACGCTTCAATCATGGGCCAGGGGAGCTGCAGGAGGAGGCGAGGACTAAACGCGTCCCACCAGAAGGCCGTCGAGGGACTAAAAGAGGCCGCGGCCGCCAGCACCTGGTCAGCCGTGATGGGCGGGAGGTCGTCAGGGACCGACCAGCCACTGGGATGGCCTTCCGAGGCTCGGGAGGGTTTGGTCCAATTGGATTCATCCTTGTAAAATGCGATCGAGTGCCGCTTGGCCCACTAGCGGCCGAATGCCCTCCACTGCCTCTGTGCCATCGGAAGCCTTCCCCATCCGCAGCCACGATAGCAGCCGCAACTTGAGGGCCAGAGAATCCTTCGGAGAAAACAGGCAGCGGCGGGGGACAAGGGCCTTTCGAGCACCTGTGAGCCGCACGTCCTCCTCGCACAACAGCAGACTGGGCACACGCCCTTCATCTCTTTCGGCCTTCCGCTGTCTCCTGCTGCACTGTGTTGTTAACTTCACGCTGGATCGCGTCTGCTAGGTCCGAGCACCTGGGCCCACCCAACTCTCGAACATGTTGCCCTACAGTTAGCGACGCCAGCAGTTTGTCCTCCACCCCCTCGAATTGGTCTTGCAACGGCAGCGCTGAAGCCAGCAGGTGCTCCCGCCTACCTGCGGTTTTGGCCTTCATGTGCTGCAAGGCTAGGCGACGCAGCTACAGCCATCGCTGGGTGAGGGGTTGGAAGCGCCTTTGCAGGAGGAGAAGGATGAGGAGGGGAAGAGGAGGAGGAGGACGAATGAGCAGGAGGAGAAAGAGGAGGAGGAGGAGGAGGAAAGGAGGAGGAGGAGGAGGAGGAGAGGAAGAGGAGGAGGGGAGGAGGAGGAGGAGAGGAGGGGGGAGGAGGAGGAGAGGAGGAGGAGGAGGAGGAGGGGAGAGGAGGAGGGAGGAGAGGAGGAGAGGAGGAGGAGGAGGAGGAGGAGGAGGAGGACAGAAGGAGGAGGAGGAGGAGGAGGAGGAGGAGGAGGAGGATAGAAGGAAAAGGATGATGTGGAGGAGGAGGAGGGCGGACCAAGCCAGCGATTTTGCCTCAAATCCTCCGATGGTTCCTCCCCTGGGCGCTCGTCTCCCGAGAACCCTTCCCACCGTTCGTGGTCAGCTCGCCAGGTTTCCCCTTCTTTCGCCGCGTCGCCCGCCCTTGTCTTCTACCATTATCTTCTCCCTCCGCCCGCTCCGCAAGCCTCCGCCCCCCGCGAGAGTGTGGGCGGGCCTTCTCAGAAGGCTCGGGATTCCCCCACTCTCCTGAGGAGTTTCCTGAGCCTTCCCCGAAGTCAGACAACATTCCTCAGAGGGCCGGAGGGATTCTGAGAAGCCCCGCCGCCTTCTGAGAGGGCCTTCTCCTTCGTAGTTCCCTCCCTCGCTCGCAGCCGAAGCTCAGGAGGCAAGTTTTGGCATGCCTTCTGTGCATCGTTTCACAAAGCCCTTGGTCCCACTGGCCGACTTACACTCCCAGATGGGAATACCAAGACCGCCCCAAGACCACTCAGGACGGTCCCAAGACGGGCCAAGAAGGCTCCACGCCTGTCAAAGAGGCGCCCAGGACA